TTTTGCAGTGCAGAGTGGCTTTTGGTTTTCACATGTGACTGTTAGAAAAAAAGAAAATCAAAGCACTGCAGTGAAATCTGGTAAGGGAGCAGGAAGGGTGGGGGGTGAAAGCCTGAGATGGTTCAGGAGGCAACAGATGGATTAAAGAGCGACTCCAGGAGGAGGGACAGATGGCACTGAAAGTGAAACTGGAGAAAAAAGAACAGGATCAGGTGGACGAACCGCTGGTGTAAATACTCCATGTATAAACCCTGTGTAGGTTTCTGAATCATACGTGTATCACAGGCATCATTACATTAAAACTTTTCCTTTGTTTATTATATTCATTTTCCTTTCGGGCTGATATGATACAACATTAAAAAAAGATTTGAGTTTCCAAGTTTGAAGTAGCCCTTTCTTAAATTTACACAAGCTTAAATAAAGTCAGAAATTTACTTGATGTTACGGACTTTTTATTTATGGTTCATCACAACAGATCAGAGCTTTGAACAGTTTCTCGTTGCAGCATGAAAGAATTCATTTTGCAGCAATTGTCGGTTTGAACAATACTGGGAACAACGGTAGCCAGAAAGGATCAAATGAGTTTTCTAAAAGAAAATCTGTTGAAACTACACCAGTTTAAACTGGTTTACATCCTTAAACCTTTAAAGGGAACTCAGTAAAACACTGAAAATCCAAATTTCAAGCCAACAGTGTTATTAAAATCCAGGACAAGATCTTATTACCTTTGTAACATTCAAAAAATATGGATATTTTCATGGCAAAAATCAATGTAATAACAAGAAACGCCAACTACACGCATATATTAAGAAAAATAAAAGTGTTTTTTTAAATAAGAAATTCATGAAAAACACTCTGAAAGTGAGAGAAACTCATTTTTTTTGGGTCCAACATCACCTTTAAGGCATTAATGCTCATATGGCACGTAGAAATTTTAGTTTATAAACCTAAATATAATTGTTCACTAGGCTTATCAAATTATTAACTTTACTTTTTAGCTTTTTTATTAGCTTTTTATCTTATTTTCAACGTAATTTCCAGTAGGTAATATATCATTCAAGGGCTCATCTAATTGGTCAAATGCTAAAATAAGATGTACAGCCATGTAGCACTGTCTTGGATGGCTGGATATAGATCTTGTGCTTTTAGACTTCACTGAGGGACGCGGGGGGGGCTCCATTTGTTAAGGGTGTGCACGTGATCAAAAACACTAACTTGCCCTATAAAGGGTTAAAGACTTGGCATGGGCTGACCAAGATAAAAGCCCCTGCTTACAAATCAGCAAATTCGAAATCATTGAACTGAGGTAAAAATGCCAAAAACGACCTAAACTTGACCCCAAAATACACATCTAGGTTATGGGTGGGCAGTTCTGGTCTCAAATAGGTTTTTAATCTCTTGCTGCTTAAAAACACCTGATCTGAATAAATAGCTCATTCACACTGCAGGAAAAAGAGACTAAATGGATGACTGACAAGTTTCATACATTCTTAAAGGACGACTCACCCCCAAAGAGCCAGAATAAGCTCTATATTTTCTCCTTTAATCAGCTTAACCCTGTAATACCAAATGTATCGTATACGATACATACGGTTTCTGAAATGTTTTGCGTCTGACACCTTTTGCATAACTTAATGGTAAAAACTTTGCTCAAAATCCAATCGTACACAATCAGATATACCTGATAACAGCCAGTAGAAGACTACACAAAAAATAATCTTGACTTATCGCATAGTAATATATATATATATATATATATATATATATATATATATATACACACACATCCAAATACACAGATAATAAAGATAAAAATAAAAAAGATAAAATATATATTTACAATATATACAGTCAACCACAAATGATGGCTGAAGTCTTTTTTTTTTTTTTTCTAAATAGCAGGATTATTATTATACCACAACGGAGAATAAGGCAAGGCTAGAGATTTTTTTATTTTTATTTCGAGAATAAAGTCGTAACATTACAAGAATAAAGTTATAATATTCAGTGAATAAAGTCCTAAAATTTATGAGAAACAAGTTGTATTTTATAATAACTCCTACAGAAGCACTTTCTTCACTAAAATTAGGAATATGGAGCATCATGTGAAGTTATATTTTGGCTCTGGTTTGACAAATAAGGAAATCTTTTATCACCAGCATCAAACTGGGCAGGATGTCAAAGTGGACTCAGGTTGCTGATTTTAGGAGCTCAAAGCTTTCTTACTGAAACTGATTGTGGTATGATGACTTCATTCTCGTAATAGAAGGGGAAAAAAACCCTCTTGCCTGGCCCTAATACTCCATCATAATTATACAGATGCTGTGTCAGAGAAAACAAAAAACTTTGAACTTTAAAGAACAACCTCCTCATGGGTAATTGGATCACAATCTTTTTTTTGTCTCTGCTCATAATCAGAGACGCCCTGCATTAAAAAGAACTATTGGATGATGGTCCGAGGAAGATGAAGAAGCTCTGCAAAGTTGTTTTGAGGCAATAAACTGGGATTCACTGTTTCAGTCACATGGAGAGGACATCAGTGCAGGGTAGATAAAAATGTCCTCACCAAATCAATAGGAAGCGCTGGCAATTAAAGGCACCTTAAGAACCGCGATAAAACAGGCTGCTACAGGAAATTAATCAGCACAACTATCAGCAGCTATTACTCCTTGGGTAAAAAAAACAAAACAAAAAAAAGGCTATATTTGGAATCCATCAGGTTTTTTTTTAATTATTATTATTTGAATTGAATTAAGCAGGGAAAAGGACCAAACACATCAGGAATCATTTAGTTTCCCAAATCCCCAACCTCAAACCTGCAGAAGATGTTTGGTTGACAAAATTTTAAATTGAATCAAGTTAGCTGGGATGTTTGTATAATTTGTTTCCTGTTAGAAGAGAGGAAAAATCACACTAAATGAAATCAGCTCTTTTATTAAAACCCTCGTGTTCTTAAATCTTTCCGCTCTGCATTATTCAGAGTAGCTTTGCCTCGTCTCTTCCTGTTTGGCTGTGACTCCATCCTGGAAAGAAACATCAGCTGTGCTGCTTCCATCAACACCTTTTTTTATAGATGTTGGAGATCTGCCTGTTTTCCAGTGTGGTCCCGTTTCTCTGACCGTGACTGAGTGGATGTGCTCTCTTCGTCCTCTGGCATGGGAGCTGGTTTAGAGCTCGTCTGCCTGGCTGTGTGTTTCCTGGACGGGGCCGCCTTTTAAAGCTGCTTCTGTCTCCTTGAACCCCAGTCGGCCTCAGCAGATGGCCGCTCACACTGAGCCTGGTTCTACTGGAGGTTTCTTCTGTTAAAAGGGAGTTTTTCCCCTCCACTGTTGCTACAAGCATGCTTAGTGTGAGGGATTGTATTTGAGTCAATAAGTCGATGCAATCAACTGGTTTTCCTTAGATAGAAAACTTTGTATCAATTTGACTGGATGATCTGGTTGAACTGTAAAATGCCTTGAGATGACATGCGTTGTGAATTTGGCGCTATAGAAATAAACTGAATTGAAAATTGAATTGAATTGAATTAAGAGTTCAATAAATAAACGGAGAGCGTAAACGTAGGTAAATTTCTGACTCTGTCGAACCTTAAAAATAAAGTAAAAAAAAAAAAAAGTTTCTCTGCATCGGTCAATCCATCATTAAATTCCCTTCAGAGCGAATAATGATCGGCGCTGCTGTCTGTACTTAAAGTCGGGCATCTTAACAAGCTATTCAAGAACCTTCTCTTATTTGGACCAACTAATCAGCAACCTCTTTGGGATGCTCAGAAGATGGTTATTGAAAAGGAATAATCAGGTTTCACTATCACCCCTCCAGCAAACAAACACCCCCTCCACCCCCCCACTGTTCCTGCACTCACCTCCCTCCCCGCCCTCTATCACTCTGTATGCAGAGTGTCTCCAGGGAGGGGTAATGGATTGTGAGTAATGCTATCATCCCTTTCTCCCCTCTTTCCCTGGTGGACCGGGTGAGGAGGAAGGAGGGGGGCAAAGGGTGGAAAAAAAAAAAAAACCCACTTGGAGGACCTCGTGTCTGGCGTATTGTTTCTTCTAGTGTCTTACAAGCAGATTCAAGCCAGATAGGATTAGAACAGTATGTAGTATTTGTCCCTGGTCTCCTTAAGGCTCCCTTTGTGGTTTCAGAATGAACCTTTTTTAATAAGCACTCGAGGCTCCACCCTGGTTGGATGTTGAATATGGAGGATAATAAGAGCTGGAAATGAGGCCATTTTTAAAATGGAAGTCCTATTAGAGCTTTGCAGCAGGAAACTTTCCTTTTCAGTCCTTCACCTCATCTCATAATGTACGCACACAGGATATTGATTTCTCATAATAATTTTTTCTTTTAGGATAATGGCAGAGCCAATTCATTGTGGCCCGTGTCTACGGCTAATAATAAACCACTCTGTGCTTTGCAGGCCACCTTGTGAGGTTCTGGAAGCAGGAAAGAAAGGGACCTAATGAATCAAAACAAAAACAGACAAAAACGACACAAGTTGTTAGAGAGAAAAATCTAAAAGCTGTTAAAAACAAAACGTGGCTTCGCTGCGTTTTATAACCAGACTGATTAGAGTAAACTTGTCTCAAAGGGTTCTGTATTTTAGTTCATTTTTAGGAAATAAACCCCGATTAAAATAAAATAAAACAAATAAAAGAACGATAACATAATTGAAATGTCTGAAATAAAAAAATTTTTATTTTTTTTTTATTTTTATTATTTTTTTTTTTTAGCCTGAAATAAAATTTAAATATAAATGTGAAATTAAATGAATTGAAATAAAGGTAATATAAAAGGTGGCATTTTTCAAAACTTTCATGAATAATTGGAATAAAGTAAGTAAATTAACTTGCATTATTATTATAAAACTAATAACTACTCCTGTTTTGTTTCACTCTTGGTTTAAAGCCAAATATTTTGAATTAAACGCTGAATTTCCAACAGAAAATCTGCCCAAAAAAAATTTTTTCAAAATAAAAAGATGAGCAAAGAAGAGTTGGACAAATTCTGCTCAGCTTGAACAATGCATCTTGTTCTGCACTGACCCCTGGTGGCCATTTGAACACACTACCCAGATTTACACTAAAAAGGATACAGATACATGGAAAAGATTGAATGTTTTTTTGTGTTGCTAACACAGAACTTATGAATTACCTTCTTCTCTTTGCCCGAGTCGTCTTCTCTCCACCATCGCTCCCGCCAAGCACCTGCTGCCAGTGCAGATTGAGCTCTGCACTGGTGGTAACGTGATTTTTCAGCAGTCTGACGGCACATTTAGGGAAACTCTGAAACTCATTAATTTTTGCTTTATTGGACAATAAAATAATTCCAGTGACAAACACTACTTTTATAAAAGCTTTAATTTAATCTTAATTTCTATTAGAAGAAAGCAGCATATTACAAATGATACATAATACAATAAAAAAGTATTTATACCGTTAAAGAGCTTTGCGATAAAAAAAAACAAGCTATGCAACACATTTCTCTTTAAAAAGGCACCAATAGTTTTTTCCCTCCACTAACCTATAACATCACCATCCTCATCTATCTGCAAAATCTCACCTTTAAGTTACATGTAATAAAAAAAAAAAAAAAAAAAAAAACCTGGAAGAAACTGTATATAAAAACAAAATGCCAAAAAGTAATCTGCATGGCTCTGTCCACAGAGACCAAACAGATGAGCTGCATAAACATTACAGTGATCCAGTCATGTTCAGGTCAGCCAGGTTCGAGTTTCTGGCCAAAAATCATGCAGCTAGAATGAAATGTAAAATCTGAGAATTGTGTTTAAAGGGGGAAAGAATGGAGCAAATCAACAGGACCAAACGTGGGAATGTTGAAACCTGACGACCAACGCTGAGCAGCAGGAGAGGAGAAAAAATAAAGAACCCCTGATGAGAGCAAAGGGTGCTAAAACCCCCGCCCACCGCGACCCTGGAAATACCTAAAAAGTGGATTCTTACTTTGTGTTTTCTACTTGTTCACTTTCTATCCGTTTCCACCTCAGCGTCCGACGCGGACCTGAACCCCTCCACCTCGCTCCCTTCTAATCACGTACAGTTCTCCCGCCGATTCAGTCATTCCGACTCAGTGTTTGTGTTTAGAGGAAGAGTTTGTGTTACTGCTAAAGAAAACCTCTTTTAGAAAGATTTTAAGTCTGTTAGTCCGTTAAAATGAGGAGTACTGAAAACCTTCATCTGCAGAATGTTAACTTCTACATCTAGTCTAAATTCATCGGCTTCTAATAAACAATCCTTTCCTCTTAGTGCTGGTTTATATGAGTTTACGAAATTATTTTTGCTCATTTAGACCTAAAATTTCTCCTGAAACAAGTGGAAAACAGACGAGATTTCAGAAATCAGCTGGTTTTATTTTAAACCATTTATAGGATTTATGCACTTTTTGCTTTTCTGTTAGTTTCCAAAGTGTGTCTGTTATTATTTTGATGCTAATTGAGACAAAAACATTAACAGTATTGCTTTTTCACAAAGAAGGTTTATGGATTCTGACTCTACATACTTTATTTTATAATTAAAAAAACATACATTTTATCAGTTTTTAAATGCATTTTTAACATTGGACGGTTTTTGATTTAGCTTTTTTTTTTAATTATTGCATGGTTTATTCTTTCACATTTATCCCATCACCCTTCCTTAAGATTCGCTGGTTTAGCACGTAGATCAGGACTAAAAAAAGATCAGGAAATAAAAAATACAGAAAATCTAAGTTAACGAAAAAATCTGTTCAGCTGAAAACTGGAAAGGTTTTATTAAATTCTTCATCTGTTTTATTTTCCACTTGTTTTAGGCTAATTAAGATCATAAAATGAGCGGAGAGAACTTTCTACTTTTCAGATAAATAAGAGTAAATAAAAAATTACCTTTTCATTGTATTTTGCATCTAAAACAACCATTAAAAGCTTAAAAGGAAAGATTTTTAGTTGTTAATGTAAACAGTCCCCTGGCTTGAGATATAAGAAGCATAACTGAGTTTTTCTTTAGTTTTCACAAACGCCTTAATAAATGTTAATAATCATAATAAACTCCGCTTTATGTTTGTTTTTATCCCACCAACGTCTTGTAAGGCAAATGTGTTTGAGTTCACCGGATCTAAAACATCCGCTGATATGAACGACGAAGGATGAGAGGCCACTTCGGCGCTGCCGCGGTAACCTGGCGGGTTGAGGGCAGACTGTGTGGTTCATAATGAGGCAGGCAATCAGGATCAAAGAAAGGAAGAAAAACCAAACGGCTTGAAAATCAATTCCCGTCAGCCGGGATGGGAATCGAAAGGCGGACATTTAAGGGCCGCCGATCCAAGCGGCGTTATTTAACGGAGCCGTTATGCTCGCAGAACCCCAAACGGCCGTCGCTCTAGTTAGGAATATTTAGGATGAGTTTTTTTTTTTGTTTTTTTTAGAAATTTGCTAAATTCAAGATGTTTTTTTTCTGGTTGGAGGTTTAAAACATTCAAATAAGATGTTGTTGTTAAACAGCAAGCGTCCTGCAACCCGGAACCTTCCTTGACGTCAGCGTCAGAGCAAGGCTGTATAAAGTAAGGCGGGTCTTCAGCTGCTGGGTAAAAACATGAGCCCTTAAAATAACCCGAGTGAGAAAACTGTTAAACCAGCTGATGGAAAGTCACACCTTTCCTTTGGAAAGCCACTGAGTCCTTAGTTTTACTTTTGTTTTTTTTTGTTTCCTTACTGCTCCTTGCAGGCTTGCTGCTGGGTGGAGCCGTTTCTGGTCCTCCACAGCAGCGGGGCGCTGAAAATGCCGATGACGGCCAGGTTGAGGGTGAGGCTGACGGCGAGCGCCCCGATGGTCCCAAGGAAGGACGGCATGGCCCCGTGGAGCTGGAACCACGCCCTGCGCGACGTCATGTCCGCTATGACGCCCTCCATCTGGAAGTGGCTTCCCACCACGGCGCTGATGTGGAACAGCTGGTGGCTGTGGCCTGAAGGAAGGAGCACAGGAGACGGTCAGTGAGACGCACAGCTTCACCTTCAGGATGAGAGGTTACACATCTCTGAGCTTCCTGTCATGAAGCTACAAAGTCAAACTAATCATAAATAAAACACATTATTTGACATTTTGTTAAAAACCGTCTGATTCTCGATGAAAAGATCTGAATTCCTAAAAAAGTTAAGAAAAAACAATCCCCTGGACTTTGTTTCCAAGTTTGAAGATGTTTCGCTTCCCATCAAGGAAGTTTTTTTAATTAAAAATGTCAGAAATAGAGTCGAGTTCGAGGCTTTATAGAGTGGACCAAAAACAAAGCCTTGTTTTAGCTTGGAAAACATGCAAATTAAACCGGACGATCGGGTCCACCCCTTAGGAATGGGGGTCGTTTGGGTTCTTTGTTAGCCTGTAATGCCCAAAACTGGTATTGTCCGTGACAGGGAGGTTATTAGAGGGAATTGTTGGCCTGGCTGAACAGGTGAGGTCTTCTGTTCCCCTGTAAGGGTGGTGGGGGTTGCGATGATAACGGAAAGGAATCGACTCAGTCGGTGAATTGAAGGTTCGTTTTTTTTTAAGGTGAATTCTGAGTCCCATGCATCTGAGTCTTTGTCCCACGCACTGAGGAAAAATGTAAATGAGTCAATTTTTCTGGAAATTTATGTATT